TCTTTCTTGTGATCATCTGTTGAGGCTGAATAGCACCTAAAACATATGTCAGCGATATCTCAATAGCGGTACAATATTTAGAAGTCTTACCAGAGGCAAGGTTGTCGATAACAGCTTGGAAGTCTTCTCGCGAGTATCCAAGAACAGACTTGTATGAACTCTCCTTCCACGTGATCCAATTCGGGTTAAAAGGAATTTCCTTCTCCCAGATGGCGACGTTGACCACTGTTCCCTTCGTCTTAACGACCTCGCAGGCACTCTTAATACTATAAGATCATTAGCAGGGAAACAGTAACTTGGACAGGGACACCTACCTTGCTGGTACACCTGCACAGTCAAATACAACGTCCGCGCCCTTGCCATCGGTCAAACCCAGCACAACATCTTTGAGATTTTCCTCGATCGGATTCACGACACGCGTGGCGCCAAATTGTTTCGAGAAATTCTGTCTTGATGCAGCAACTTCAGAAACAATAATCTCACTGACATTCTTGGCTTTCAGACACAGAATCATAGCAAGGCCAATGGGCCCTCCTCCGAGGATCGTAACCTTTGAGCTGGAGTTGATCTCAGGAGCCGCAGAAATGGCATGCCAGGATACAGAGAGCGGCTCAACAAGTGCACCAATTTCAAGAGGCACATTCTTGGGCAGTGGAAAGACGTGCGTCGCATTACAGCAAACTGCCTCGGAGAGTCCTCCTCCTCCTCCGCTCAAGCCGACAAATCCGCCTGTGTGACAGACGTTCTCTGCATGAGAACCGCACGCTGCGCAGTGTCCACAGAAAAGAGTCGGTTGGACAACGCACGGCTGGCCAACTTCAAAACCCTTGACGTCGGGGCCGACTTCGGAGACGATACCACTGAACTCGTGGCCGAGTGTGACGGGGATCTTCTCTTTGGTGATGGGGTGAGGTGTCGTTGGGCAGAAATTGGGGCCTCCCAAAAACTCATGGAGGTCCGTTCCACATATTCCGACAAAGGCGGGAGCAATCTGTTTACCGTAATGAGTAGCTGATACGGTTTCGTTGCTCTTTGGTAGAGTTTTGTACCTTTACTTGTCCTGGGCGGACTGATGGCTGAGGAACCTGCTCGACGCGGATATCCTCTATACCGTAGTATCTCGCTGCTCGCATCATAGTGCTGTAGAATGAAAGGCGTGTGTTCCTAGGTGCTGGACCGCGGAACTGTTGAGTGAAGAGTTTTGTGAATGTTTGAGTTGGTAACCTTGGCATCATGCGGGATTTACATCATTCCACCCACACAAGAGAGTGAGGTTCATGGCTGCTTTATATCATCGCTAGCTTTACCAAGTCTCCCGCATCGTTCGACTTGAGCGCGTCAGCACATTGACCCACAATTACGAACAGGGGGTGACACCGTCACGAGTGTCCGTAGTGATGCCGTATGCATACTTTACTGAGGAAACGCTACTTCTCTGTCTAGGCTTTATGGCATTTAATTCGTTTCTTTTCGGCCTTTGTTTGCTAAGAACTGTGCGAGCAGTTCAAGTGCGGGGTGAAGCGATGATCTTTCTCTTCTTTGCTCTCCTTTCGACCTTTCCCCGGATCCAACACCAGAGGCTGATCCCTGCTTAGCTTGGGTATGTGTTGCGGAGATTGAGCCGCTTCTCACTAATGTCGGCTCCGATCGTGGCAGAGGCTAACGTTCGGGAAGCTCGTTGAAGCCTTCCGACAGGAATACGGTTAGTGATGGCCCGGCACCGTCAAATTTGATCCTCGAGTGTCTTAGTTCTCCCACATCAAGATCGACGCAAACATCTTGGCTGCCCAACCGTCAAGCGTACGGTTCCTCTGAGATGTTCGAATTATCGTGAAATTCCTAAAAGGCCATTAGGATCCCCTGCGCAAAAATTGCTTTTTGACGGGTAAAGTCCATATTGTGACAAAATTGGGGATGTGGCTTGATCACTGTTCCCGGACCTTGGCATTCGGCGGAGTTTTCTGTCAAGCGATGGTGGTGGTGTGAGGTATCGACCCGGTTTGATCGAACAGGCGAGAACTCAGCTAAAAATGTGAGATGAAGCAATTGTTCACTGACTAATCGTACGCGATACAAAATTTTTGTAATAGCACAGAAAAACTCCTTTGTGAACGAGTACATCTTTTGTCAAGCGAAGGTTGTCACCCAGAACCAGCAAATGGGGTTTTAAGATATCGAGAGCGGTTATTGATGCGCGTCACAAACAAACCTACTTGGACAACATGCCCGAGTATTTCTATAAATATCTATCTACAACGTTTTATAAGTATATCAACACCTTATTTCTTCCGCATAGCTAAAGAATGCTTCGGGATTGATTGCTGGAATTGCGGTGAAATAACCTACCCTGTACGAGAGCAAAGACAGTGCTACCCCAATGAGTGGACCAAGCTCCAACTGTTGGAGTCACTACCCCAGAGATAAGGATAAGATAAGGGATGGTTTTATCAGTGATGCCCGCTAACCACAGGCTTGGGGCTTAGCGTCACTAGTTCTGGCAAATGCAGATTGGTCAATGACATGACGTGAAGTAAATGTGGAAGCTTTTCATGAGATCTTTTGATAAGAATCCTGCATATTATTCTGTGATACGATCGCTTTCAGTTCATCCTTTGTATTGAATGCAACGGCATCGAATAAGAACCAGTCGATTTAAGAGACAATATGATGTCCATCTTCAAAGGCGTGGCACTCGTTACTGGCGCTGCCTCTGGTAAGACTTCCAAGCTGTCATACGGGATATCACTGACCGGCCCAAAGGAATTGGTCGCGAGACCGCTCTGTCGTTTGCTCGCGAGGGCTGCAAGCGTCTGGTACTTGTAGATCGAGATGTACACAAGCTACGGGAAACAGAAAAAGCGATTGCGAGTTTGTCAAAAGACCAAGATTTTCAGGCCATTTCAGTCCCGACAGATATCTCAAAAGCGAATGAGATCGAAAGTCTTTACAAAACTACGATTGAGGAGTTTGGCCGAATCGACTATGTTGTCAACGCAGCAGGTTCGTTCCAAGAGGATAATTTACTCCATGTACTGACAACAGCGCAGGCGTGCTGAGTAACAACAAAAGATCGCACGAGTCTTCTGTCGAGGAATTCGACATGATTAACAACGTAAACTATCGAGGGTGCTGGCTGTCTTCACGAGCAGCGATCCAGCGCATGCTTAAACAAGATCCTTTGCCTACGCATGATGGGAGACCCGGTTGCAGAGGTAGCATTGTTAATATTGCCAGCCAACTTGGAATAGTTGGACGCCCAGCAGCACGTGAGTCAGATAATCTAGAGGATCTACTATCCCAACTGCTGACACCTGATCCACTGTAGCCGCTTACTGTGGTAGCAAAGCTGCCGTGATTAGTATGACGAGGTGCGACGCTATCGACGTATGTATCCCGCCCACAAAGATAAATGTCTTGATCCTGCATCTCTAACTTTTGTAGTATTCCAAGGACCTTATCCGCGTCAATGCCGTTTGTCCTGGGGTTATTGACACGGCCATGACAAGACCACAAGCGGAGGTTCTGGCCCCGGCAGTTAATATCGCGCCGATGGGACGGATGGGCACTGCACAAGAAGTTGCTGATTGTGTATTGTTTCTCGCCAGTAGCAGAGCAAGCTTTGTGCAAGGCACAGCAATGGTAGTAGATGGTGGATATGTTATTAACTAGTGTAACTCGTATAGTAGTATTGTTGAACCTCACGACTTCCCATTGACCATCAAGTCGATAAAATTCGTTTACCCATATGTGTTGTATAAACAAGTATGAATTATGATTTATAGACTATCTTGCATGATTATCGGACCGCCTCTCCAGCTTTGACCTTCTCATACGCTTGGGCCACAATTGGCAGCGCCTGAACGCGATCCAACCAAGCCTTGACCTTAGGATACTCGTCGAGGGTCAAACCCGCAAAAGCATACTGTCGCATCCAAGGCTCAAAGTGAAAGTCAACGACATTAGGCTTCTCGCCTGCAAGAATCCAGTCTCCGCTATGAGACTTGAGCTGCTCCTCGAGAACTCCAAAGCATCGGAGAGCCTGAGCCTTGTATCTCTCGTATGCGTTGTCGTTCTTGACGTTGTGATAGTGTCGGAACCAATTGCACTGTCCCATCATGGGCCCCATAGTGCTGATCAAGAAGCTCACCCACTTGTCGACGTCGACTCTGCCCTGCTCGCCGGCTTCCTCCCTTGGGCCGAATTTGTTCTCGGTGTCGTAAACTCGGAGAACATAGTTCACGCAAGCCATACTTTCCCAACTGGTGACGTTTTGGTTTGGGTCTTCTAAAGCGGGCACACGGCCGTTGGGGTTGATGGCGAGAAAGTTGGGGCCTTTGAGACCATTGGAGCCCTCGCCGAACTCCCAGAGTTTGACATTATAAGGGATGTTGAGTGCCTCGAGGAGGATGGCCACCTTGAACGGGTTGGGGCCTGTGTGGTGGGCATGCAAAATGAGAGGCTTAATGGAAGACATGATGAAAGCTGGTGGGGAGATGTTTAAGATAATCGAGAACACACGTTTGAGAGAGAGTTGGTATTTGAGCAAGAAGTTGAGGGTTAATCGTGGGCTTGTAGTTACGCTATATATACCCTGAGACTTCGAGAACAAACTAACTGATGGAGATGATTTGAAATCAGGCTTGTCGACTACGTTATGGCATTCCAAGAACTATCCCCGGACCCAATTTGCATGAACCTGAACTGCCGATAGACGTGTATCATTGGTTAGATCGCTGGATCATGACGAGGGCAGTGGAGTTGATGGGGCGGTTACGAGTAAATGACAAAGACAGTGGCATTAAATGAGGCGTCTATTCTTTTGACCAGGCACATACTTTCGGGCTCGAGAAAAAGTACACGAAGCACACCTCCTCAAGTAGGGTTGGTAGTGAAGTGGTTAACTATATGAGGGATCTAAATCATCAAATAAGAAGCCTTTGTTCCTGTCAATCCTGACAGGACCAAAAATATTGGTACAAGTGGGATTTAACCACCGAAGATGGACGAACAGGGAATCGAACCCTGGACCACTCCCATGATGGTTTCTCAAAGAGAACATGCTAAGGGAGTATTATACCACTAAACCATTCGCCCGAATCGACTTGTGATTGGTTGGGAACGGGTGACACTATTGAGAAATATGATCTCTTTCGCGGCTGAACATCAAACACTGTGCAGATGTATGTACTTTGACGGACTCGCTTTGGGTGTGGAAAAATCAATATTCACTCAAAATCTCCAAAAAATGAATATGAAATACAACCGCAGCTTCTATAATCGAACACAATTTGCTATAAGAATCTACTTGATGTGAAATCCTTCTCGTCATCTACCTGTCGTTGTTGTCGCATGAAAATGCCCCTCCAATAAGACCATCGGCATACGCATCAATGATGTTCTGAACGACTCCGTAGGTTCCTCCAACCATCAAAAACACCGATAGTGCAATCATCAACCAGTTCAGATAGTATACCAAAACCTGCCACCATTTGCCGTGGCGGTAGTGCTGGTGGTCGTATACCCAAAGGTACCCAGGCAAGCCAAGCGCAAGAGGCGAAAAGGTGAGACTGCCTGCTAGAGCAAGGAGATAGTTGAAGATAGGGATACCGGAGGCTATCAGAAAAGAGACGGCCGACATGAAAGTTGTGCAGCCAAGCCAAACTGCCCAGTGAGTGACAGTGTTTTTCTGGAAGTGCTCCGAGTGGCGAAGGAGTCGGACGAAGAGGTACTTGGCTGCGACATGGACATAAAGACAGGCACTGACGAGAAGTCCAGTAAGACCAATTCCATAGGCAACCTTTTTGATCGTGTCACCAGCACTGCCCAGGGAAGGGCTTGCGACCCATTGCCCACAATAACGGTAGACAACAAGGGAGAAAGTAAGATAAGACGCAGTGACGATGCTCATGCAAAGATACACGCTCTTGTTGTAATCCTTGGGTCTGCGCATCTCTGAAATGACTGGAAGGAACGCAGAAGTGCCAGCTCCGGAGCAGAAGATTGTAGCGACCGAAGTGATACCAGTGACAAATGTCGGGTTGCCAATGACATGGTAGCCAAAGTCGTAGTCTCCAGTCTTGGGAGCAGCAGCCGGTCGATCGAGGGTAGTAACACCAACACTAAGCTTCCTGTTAGCAAAGACCTGTGCAATTGGCATGTACAACTTACACGACGATAAAAACAGCGATATAGACAGTCAAAAACCCAGCCCAGGTCAGCCAAGCAATCTTCTCAAACTTGCGGACACTGGCGAGTATAAGAACCGCAATTGTCGCAACAAGCATAAACCAATTGGTGCAGATGGCATGATTGGATAGCACATTGAGAGCGACAGATGTGCCAAAGATTCCAGACGCGCCGACAATAGCGTATGTAACAAGGAAGAGGACACCTACGACCTCCTTCAGCCACGCACCGCCGACCACGTTTGCCATGTCGGCGATAGAGTGGCAGCCAGCATGTGCATTGCGGAAGTTGCCCTGGATAATGGCGCAGTATGTATTGAGTGCTTGCCACCCGAGAACATTGATCGCACCGGGTAGTGCGCCGAGAACGAACATGGCTGAGGGTATGGTCAAGACACCAGTGGCGAAGATAACTATCAAGATATTAGTGCCTAACAAGAAGAATGGTCGGAAAATAGGTTACCCTTTAGAAAGATCACGGAAGCTTGAATCCATCCGACGGTTCGGAAATCGACAACCCCATCACCTTGCTTGAAGACTTCGCCGTCATCAACTCCTTCTTGTCTTCCGAGCTCAATACTTCCACTGCTGAGCATGCCAGATGACTGCTTGTCGCCCTTTTCTCCCTCCGAGGAGCTCATATTGGTGGATGTCATATTGACCAAGAACAATGTTGAAGATGAATGAGTAGGATGGTGATACCGAAGTTCCAGACATGGAAATCCTCAGCCTATTATTACTTGTGTATCATCAAAGGTAATTTTGCCAAGTTCAACTTATCAACAACCTAGCTAGTCAAGACACACACCAAACCAGTACCAAGGACCTCGTTCCTGGTTGGTTTTCCCCCAAGTCCAATGATAAGGTCTGGGGTAAAACACCCCTTGTCATCTCTGGGGAACATCTTAACTGGATCGAGATAAAGCGTGATAAGGAAGTTGGAGCATAGCGTTGGATTTGGAGACTAGCGTGTCTTTGGACCACAGACGATATCGTGGAGTTACCCCATGATAGCAGGTCGATAAGCGTCATTACCCCTCTAATTCGTTATCTGAGATACTGTAACATTCGGCTGTTGATGGCGCGGGGCTGCACCGTATGAATATGCGTACTTGGCGTGATGAGGCACCCAGGGTCTTTGAGTCTATTTCTTACCATAGTTCTAGGACTTCATCTCAGATCGTGGTTGTTTGGCCAAGTTTGTTTACTGTCCTTTGTCTGATCAATCCTTATCCTACTGCTTCTTAAGAGCGTACTGATACAGTGTCAACCACACAATGCCTAAGAGAATTCTCTGTTCCTATGGTGTCGACGTTGACGCAGTTGCTGGCTGGCTTGGTTCCTACGGAGGCGAAGACTCACCCAGCGACATCTCTCGTGGACTCTTTGCCGGAACTCACGGAGTCCGTCGAATGCTGAAGCTTTTCGACAAGTACAACATCAAGACAACTTGGTTCATTCCTGGACACAGTCTTGAGACCTTCCCAGAGGAATGCGCTATGGTACGCGATGCTGGCCACGAAATCGGTCTTCACGGTAAGTGAACCTCATGACCTGTCCCAATACGCAAGATTTAACAGTTTGTTAGGGTACTCCCACGAGAATCCCTCAGATATGACCCTGGAGCAGCAACGCGATGTGCTGGAAAAGACACACAAGATGCTTACAGACTTCTGCGGGAAGCCTCCGCGAGGGAGTGTTGCTCCATGGTGGGAGACTAGCAAGGAGGGTGTGGATCTGATGCTAAGCTATGGCATTGAATACGACCACTCCATGTCTCACGACGACTGCCATATGTACTGGCTACGAACCAACGATAGCTGGACCAAGATTGATTACACACAAAAGGCCGAGACTTGGATGAAGCCTTTGGTTAAGGGCAAGGATACTGGTCTTGTTGAGATTCCGGCAAATTGGTATTTAGATGAGGTAAGTTTCATAAGTGAGGGATGGAAAATAAGCGCTAACAACCATTGCAGTACGTTTATCCCGGCATAGAGATTTGGAAGAGAGTTGTTGCTTGAAGTTCTGCGCTGACTGCTTACAGCCTTCCACCCATGATGTTCGTCAAAAACAGCCCCAACAGTCACGGCTGGGTCAACTCGAGAGACGTTGAAGACTTGTGGCGAGACCACTTTGACTACTTCTATAGAGAGTATGCCGATGATCCTGATGAGATCTGTGTTTTCCCCATTACATGCCATCCAGATGTGTCTGGTCGACCACATGTGCTTCTTATGCACGAGAGGTGAGTAGATATCCGGTTTGAGTAAGGGTTCCAAGAGTACTGACAACCTCTAGGCTGATTGAGTATATCAATAAGCACGAGGGCGTCGAGTGGGTGACGATGGAGCAGATGTGCGATGAGTTTAAGAAGAAGAACAAGCCGCCAAAGGGTGCTGTGATGCCATCGACGAAGGAATAGTATCAGAACCTATAATGATGACCATAGGTAGATATTCAGTGTTAAACAGAAACATGCTCAAGCCTTCATATTCTTTTGTGAATGAGTATCTCACGGTACTTTTCCAAACCCACGCCAATAATGTTGATAAATGGCCACTGCGTGTTGCTCTTGAAGAAGTGTGCCCAGATCTTCAAAACCGCTAGGCACAGATTCCCGGGGTTTTTGAAATCCAGCATGTTAGGAACCTCTTGATCAAGATCCTGGTCAAAGTCTACCACAGTGTATGCCTCTTCCACAATGCATCTGACCCAATGTAAAATTCTATCCTCACTATCTAGAAAACAATTAGCATCAGTTCATGAACAGAACGTATTAAAAAGACTTACCACTGAGTGGATTATCAGCGACAGTCTCAGCCAGCTTCGACAACCACTTGCTCAACAGGACCGCACAGTCTAGGCCAGAGAGCGAATGTCTCACGCTCCAAAAGAACGCCTGGCTCCTAGCTACCCGATCGACGCCCAGCCGCACAGGAATGCCAATCATGTGAGCTGAATAGAGGAGAGCTGCTATGACTCCATCACTTCGCTCGATGTCCGGACTACTCGCGATGGCGTTGGCAATACGCTGCGGATCTCGCGTCTCTAGTTGCCGGTAGGGACCGAGGTGCAGATATATACGTACGTAGGCTAGTGAAAGAAGAGAGCTGGAGGTGAATGGGATAGGTCCGTTCTCGTTATTGGGGTCAAGGGTTGACTCGGGTGCTTGTTGCCAGCATGAAGTCCAGGACCGTAGGCCATGTCTGCGGAAGATGTCAGTAAATTTTGCGACTTTAGGCGGATTTACACACTCAAGCTTATCAACTTCCTCGTTAGGGAGGACGGCCGAGCTTCTCGTCACTGGCAGACTCAAATCTCTGACAATGTGTATCCTCTGAAGCAATCCATGTAGTAAAACATAGTTCCCTAGTGGTGTAGGGATCGGCGATAATGGCGCAGATTCACTCTTGTTCCTAAGTAGCAACGACAGGGCTTCTCGAAAGAACAGCTGCGGCTCTTGGATCTCCTTTCCGGCATCACGCCACAGTATTGGAGTTGGAGCCTTCCACTCCTTTGTCGAGCAGGGTAATCGAAGACCGATTTCATTGCTGCGCAGAGTTGGGTACACATTATATGCAATGCTATGTGTGTGTAGAAAGGAAAAGCCGATGAGCTTAGATCTTCTAGTTGACTCTTGCTTGATCCATGCAATCCATTCGTGCCATAGAGAGTTGCCATCGCTTGGCTGATCCGATGGCGTGGGCGAGATGGGTTCTTCTACATCTTCCAAACCTGCATTGCGAAGGACTTGCGTGAGAATTCCTTGCAGGGCAAAGGATTCTTGCACCATACTTGCTTTGGGCTCCCAGGTCGCAAAGCCCATTAATGCGATCAACGCTCTGATAGTTTCCACTGACGAGTCTTTCTCAGCATTACCGGCAGGTCGATTAATTTCTGTGGCAG